TACTGTTATGACACTTATTAACACACAACATTTACTCTGTCTACATACAAACGCCATTTCGTTGAAAGATCTATTTTAATAGTTTATTTGTTTTTTAATTTTTGTTTATGGAAACAAGCATTTATTTCATCTTGATGAACAATCGGTTGATCAAAAATATATGTCTGTTTGTTTTGTAAACATTTGTGAAAATAGATATTAAATATTAACTGAATTTATGTTGCAATAAGTTAAAATATTTGTGGTTTTTGTTTGGGAATTAATGGGTTTAATAGTTTTAAGAGCTTTTTCGATGAGTCAGCGAATGTAAGAGGAAAATGTCGAGTAAAAAATCAAAAATTAAACTAACTCTTTGCTTTACCAATGTCATCGGCATTTGGATTTTAAAATCCATATTTTTTATTTGTTTTGTCCCAAAGCTTTCTAAAATAAAAGTATATTTTTTGTACATCTAAATAAATTTATGTATGTACCTACAGTTTAAATATTTCAGTACTGCCTGACCATTAAGAACTTGATTTAAAATTGTTATTAATATTTTATTATATAGTTTAATTGTTACGAAGAACAATTGGCAATTGAAATAATCAAAATCTTGAGAATTCATCGTTGATAATGGAACTAATCGAATACCTAAATCATGATGTAGATTTCCGAGAAAAAATAATGGACAGCCATATATTTCGTCTCTATAATGTTGTTTTAACTATTTTAAATATTTTTCATGCGGTCCCCCAATACAGCCTGATGACAAAAAGTAGCCCTTCACTATAAATACATTTTTTATCGTTAAATAACATTTGAATGTGTAAAATGTAGCAATAGAAAATAAATAATTTATATTTTTTAAATTTTTTGGTATATACCGAGTAATAGTGAGATAAAAGGCCACGTTAATATCTCTTTTATTTTTTAAGCGAATTGGATCAAATTTGGAACAAACAAACAAAACAATATTTCGAATTGACACTTATACAAAATGACCGATTTCCGGTTTTACCAAAAATGCTATTATGATTGTTTTTTTTTTAAATGGATTACCCTCTATATATTAGGTATTTTTTTTATATATATATATTTATATAAAAGGACATGAACCGAATGAAAATTTTCGGCATTTTTAAAAGGCAGGCCACTAAATATGGCATACGGGGTTTAGCATTAAGGCTCTTGAGGGATTATTTATCTAATAGAACCCAGAGCGTAAAAATTAATCAGTAGTAAAGATGGGGGTCCACAAGGAACAGTATTGGGCCCAATTTTGTTTCTGGTCTATATAAACAACATTACACAAATTAATAACTTATCTGGGAATATCATATGCTCTGCGGATGATACGGTAATTATTTTCGCTGAAAAAGAATGGGAAGAGGTTAAACTCACTGGAGAAACGGCCCTGAGAAAGATAAGTTTATGGTTAAATAACAATCTACTAACTTTAAATGTATTGAAAACAAAATGCATTACTTTTAGTTCAACCATCGTTAATCAACCTAACAGCTTTTGTATAAAATTGCATAGTAGTGACTGTCAAAAAAACGATTGTAACTGCCCCTTGACAGAAAAAGTTTCTCAGGTGTAATACTTGATCAATACATACGTTATTCTGAGCATATTGTCCATGATAGTAATAGACTGAGAGCCCTAATGCACAAATTTTATGTTCTCCGGGACATTCTTTCAAAGAAAAATATAATGATACTTTATAACTCCCTAGTGGAATCTATAATAAGGTATTGCATAGTAGCATGGGGTGGAGCATTTAACACTACAATTAAAATTGTAGACAACACAAAATATTATGGGAATATACCTCTTTGTCGCCGCGGTCAGTTTTACCCAAATTTAATCCTTTCGCTATTCGAAAGGTATAGGCCACTTGGTCTCCAAACCTGGATTAAGGGTTCCAAGAAAATTATGGGGTTATTTAATTACTCTAATTATAATATCGGTTTGTGACCTGTCGAGAACTAAAATAAAAATATTTTTCATCAGTTAATTGTCTGCATTCTTACTGAAAAGATTAATTTTTTTATTTTAAAAGTGATTCTCATCTTATTCATTATTCCATAAAAGAAGTTTTGAGTTTGTGTTGCAATGTAGTCGATGTTAAGTGTAAAAGGAAAAAAGTTGTTAATTGTAAAAAAATATACATTTGGAAAAGACAAGGAAACAAAGTTAGGTGTATCATATAAGTGTACTCGTCGTGGGTGTAAAGCGACTATTGGAGTGGACGATTCGGAAACTGTCTTATTGAAATCTAAGAGTGAACACAATCATCCACCATCGGACCATTTAGATGTAAAAAAACTTCAAAACGGATTGAAAAGAAAGGCAACAGAAGATATTTGCGTTAAACCCAGTAAGTTAATTAATAACGGAATCCGAGGGGAAGGAAATACTTTTAATGTATCCACTACGGATGTTGACCTCATCAGACGAAGCATATACAGGGCAAGAAGAAGTATATTGCCACCTTTGCCAAAGTGTATCAGTGATGTTCATAGTGTACTGAAAGCAATACAATGTGTTACAAATAAGGGTGAACAATTTTTATTATTTAACAATGAAGATTCACAAATTATTTTATTTTCATGTGATTCAAATTTAAAATACTTGTGTTCTCGTGATAGTATTTATTGCGACGGCACATTTAATTATTGCCCTAAATTTTTTTTACAATTTTTCACTATACATGCTGTTGATAACGGACACTACATACCATTGGCATTTTTTGTTTTACCAGATAAAAGAGCAAGTACCTATGCAACTGCATTTAAATTATTAAAAGATTACTGTTATAATAATTTAAATTTAGATTGGAAGCTGTGTAAAGTTATTTGCGATTTTGAGAAAGCCATACACACTGGTATTATACAGATTTGGCCTGATATCTTAATTATTGGATGTAGATTTCATTTAACCCAATCGTGGTTACGTAAGATACAAAATCTGGGTTTGATTTCCGAATATAAAAATGAAAATTCTGAAATCGGCAAATGGCTTCATTACACTTTCGGCATTTTATTTTTGGAAAGTACTGAAGTGGCAGAGTGTTTTTGTAAAGATTTAATTCCAATAATGCCATTTGACGAGAGATTAACTTCATATACTCTTTAGGGGGCGTCCATTAATTACGTGAGGTATTTTTGAGGATTTTTTGACTCCCCCCCCCCTGGCGAGATTTGGTAAGATTTTCCTTAACTCCCTCCCCCCCTTCCCTAATCTCACGTGAGATTTTTCAAAATTCGTGTTTTGGGTGTAAATGTGTTGGATTATTAAAAAAAAAAAAACAAAAAACAATACATATATGGTTGTAAATAAACATAATTATAAGATATTTCCATATTTTATTCTAGAAATACTTTTACTATAATTTAACTTTACTTTCACGCAATTTATACCGTTTTCTACTAGAAAAAAAATTACGTGGGATTTACGAAAACCCCCCCCCCCTCCCCCCAAGTGAGATTTAGAAAGATTTAGTTTTATCCCCTCCCCCCCTTGAACACCTCACGTAATTAATGGACGCCCCCTTATATGATTAATACGTATACTAGCGATACGTCTGACTTCCCGCCTACAATGTGGGCATCGTGCACAAGTTCCACAGAACGCACAACAAATGCTTGTGAGTCTTTCCACAAACATTTTAATTCTGCTTTTTATTCGGCGCATCCCGATATATTCAAATTTGTTAATGTAATTCTCGATATTCAGTTAAATACTTATGTGAAATTAAACAGTACACATATACCTAACAAAATTAAAAACGCTAATTACAAAAAACGGCATGCGTATTTAACGAACGTAATAGAACAGTATAAAAATAAGATCCTTTCACGAACTCAATTTATCAAAGTAGTTTCTTATCATTACAAAAACTAATTGCAATTTGGGTTTCTTAAATAATTTTTATTTGGTATTTTGTGTATTTTGTACCTACTTTTTTTTATTATGTATAAGTTTATATTGTTTTCTATTAATTATAAGTGTTTTTTTAATTTGGTTTTATTCTTTTCCTGACCCACATTCTGTACCATATCATATCAGTTAAACATTTCTATTCACGTGGAAAATAATAAAAATCAGTTAAACTATTTTTTTCTTAAAAATATTATTTTCAATAAATCGAAATAGATACCTTTAATGATTGATAACTACGGCGACCAAGAGGCCTACCTGATTTTAAAACTGGAGACCAAGTGGTCGATGAGATTACGGAACCCCGCTGACAAAACTAACCGCGGCGACCAAGTGGCCAACACCCAATATTATTTTAAAAATTATCCTAAAAAAAAGAGAGACTATTTTCTACAAATAAATTGTACGATGAATCGAACATACTAAACGTCAAATTACTTTTTGCTTATCAATGTATAATGAGAATATATACCAATGCTGAAAATTTTACTCAAAAAAATACCCGCTTAACACGCTCAGTCGCTAATATGGAGATTCCTGTACAATTTTTCAAAAAATCACTTAGTCAAAGGTCATTATCATTCTTTGGCCCAAAATTTTTAAACATAATTCCGATACACCTCAGGAAAATAATCAAAATAAAAAAGTTTAAAATTGAAATAAAAAAATATTTAATAACAAATAAAAAAAACATTTACGATCTAATGATAACATATTATAAATAAAAATAAACAAATAAATTTGATTTGATTGATTATAACAAATACATTGTTTATCTGTCTCTCGTATTTGTTAAAGACTATAAAAAGTAGTTTAGATAGTTTAATTTAGAATTAGATAATCATTTTTTGATATGGCACTTTCAACTGAAAAAAAATTTTAGACAGAGAGAACGTAAATTATCACTTTTAAATGGAAGAAGATAGAGACACTATACTATACACTATACCGAAAGCATAATTAATCAATAAACCTTGTGACATCTAAAGGATCTTTATTTTCTCATTTTTTTTTTCATTTCTATTCATAATATTTAATAAAATTATTTTTATAATCATATTTTTATTAATTTTCAGGATCTACTAGCATCAGACTTACACAAAGTAAAATCGGAACCAGATGTCGGACCATACAACATTTTACCCTCCCTTACGTCCTTATCAATGCACGCCCATGGTAAGTTGTGATTGACTATCTTCATAAATTTAGATATAACATAGATAAAACACAGTACTAAATTTATTTTAAGAAGCGTTTTCTCGAAGAATTTCGGGTATTTATAAAAAAACGGAAACTCCGTTTCAAAAATTTGTATTCGAATTTATTAACGTCAGGCCCACTTTATTTCCACACGATATACAAAATAAAAATGTCGTTATTTTTTTTTAATCGGTCTGCGAATTAATAAATAATACATTTTAGACGTTATATGATTTGACATTTCATTCTTATGATTTAGAGCTGTGCTGATTTGAAACAAATAGGGTATAAAAATTATTTACAAATTATTTGAACAATTTATGTAAACATATTTGGGTCCCTGTATCTCTAAAATATTTGGGCTTCGTACCCCTTAAGCCTTTTTATCTAAATATATTTGGTTCCTTTTATCTTTTAGCCTGCCCATGTAAAATTTGTCCCTTTACCTCTTAAGCCTGCTCATTAATTAGAATTAATTAGAACCCAACAGTGAATGGTCGAGTGGGGAATCCTACCAAGGCATCAGAATTAATTTAAATAATTAAACTAAATAAATTCCGGCCAACGCACACTGGGGCAGAATACCTTAAAAGTTGGTATTAATTCTTAGATGCCATGAATCGTGTATTAAAAGTATAAAATACATATTATATGTCTATATTTTATAAATAAAACATAAAACATTAATTTTTAATTATTGGCTGTCGTCAGAATCAGTAAGAAATGAGTCATCGTCGTCATCGTCTTCATTACTTTGATACTCTGTGAATGTGGGAGGCACTAACAGATCTAAAGCATCTTTTGGTATGTTTTTCAGTTTCTTTTTAGGTTCCTTTCTCTTACTTGTCAACAATGGGTCTGAACTCAATAAAAACAAATTAAAAATGTCTTCATTGGATATTTCCCGGCAACATTTTCTGGTAATTTTTGAAATCTTTGTTACGCGCCTCTTACGTCTCTTCAGTCAGTTGGCCAATTGGCAACAATGCACTAGATGCTATATCTGCTCCGTGTATAAAAAACTTATGTAGACTCTACCACTGAGCCACCCACCCCCCAAACAAGGTAGTTGTTTACAAAATTTTAGAGGCATAAAATATGAATAAAATAAAAATAGCTATTTGTGTATTAAGAGCGAAAAGAGATATTTTGCCGCTTGAGGCAATCTGTCGAAAGCGGCAACGAACTTTTCGCTCAAAATACACACAAGATGTTTTTCTACGATCATACTTTTTTAAGAAATAGATATAAAACTGTCCACATTAAATAGGATAATATAACAAAAAAAACATGTATGTACTTACAAATTATATAAAAAAATATTATATTATAGCTAATTTAAATTAGGCGAGCAACAAATCTATTAACTTTGTCGCTAGGCGAGCGACAAAGCTGTCACTTAATGTCAGTTCGTGGAAAACGTCAACTTTGCGGTTAAATTTCAAAGCGCAATAGCCTACTTTGCATAGTGATCGTAGAAATAATTTCTAAAAAAATACCTAGTGAGTGGAACCTTTTTTATTGGATAGCGACTGATGACAGATGTCAAATTTTTAGGTTGACAGTGTGAAAAAAAAGATGTTAGTAATAAAAAATATGTACGAATATCGAAACTAGGGTCCGTATTAGTGGTGCCCGCGAGAGTCTAGTTTTCGAGAGTCTCGCATGGTCTCGTCTCGTTTTCGAGACAAGACTCGAGACGAGACTTGGACGAGACGAGACGAGACGAGACGAGACTTTTATTGGTCTCGTCTCAAGTCTCGTGCAAGACTTCTCGTGTCTCGTGCGAGAGTCTCGCAGGTAAATATTTCTGCGTGCCGACTGCAGACTTGAGAATTTCATTCATAATACAACATATTTAGAAAGAATTTAGACTATTTAGCACAGATAGACAAAACATTTCATTCATAAATAATTTAAAACCACAATCCATGATTGTTGTAAAACGACGTAATACGTGAAACGAAAACGGACTGTTCTCTCTCTTACGGCGGCGGAACATAAAGGCAATACTGCAATAACGACAGATCGCAAATTGAATGACTACCTGAAAATCTATAAATAAGTCTTTCTTTCTTGAATAAGTAAAATAATGTTGGATTAAAGTTCTTGTTTTGTTTATTTGTTTAGAATATACGTGTTACTTTTTATTTTATTTTTATAACTTTCGAATATATACCTAATGCTGTTTTTTTTCTTGTTTAGATGTATGTACCTATTAGGTACTTACTTTTCAATAAATAATGTTATTTTTGTTGTAATTTTCTCTTCCTACTTCTACATTATACCTAAAAAGTAGGTAAAGGTAAATATCCCGTACTAGACTGGAACAAGATTATGCATGATGACATTGCGATACATTTGCGAGACTCTCGTACGGGACGCGAGACGAGACGAGACTCGAGGCTGCGAGACGAGACTCGAGACAAGACTTCATATTTCATCGGCGAGACGAGACGAGACTTTATGAAAGTCTTGTCTCATTGGTCTCGTGTGAATCACTAGTCCATATTTATAAACAGAACTCAGCTGAGTATGACTTGGGTAAGTCGTCCTTGAACTAAAATCGAAGTTCGGTTATATCACGTGAATTTAGAGATAGGTAGTAACAAATCCGTAAATGTACATAACAGTTACAGATTTGTTGAAATCCATCTCTAACCACCTGGAACTTTAGAGACGTTGTAACCGAACTTCGATTTTAGTTCAAGGACGACTTACCCAAGTCCGACTCAGCTGAGTTCTGTTTATAAATACGGACCTAAGGCAAGAGTTTCAAGAAAACGCTCTTCAAAAGTTTAAAATGGAATGAAAGCTTCAAATTGTTTAATAAACAACATCTCCAATAAAAAAAAGGAATTTAAAACATAATTAGTCTTTACAAAATATAAACTAAGAATATATCGATTGGTAACAAAAGCAAGAGAAAAAACATCACTTAGCTTATTTTAGCTGTCTTTATACAGTAGTGGGATTCTCATGTTTCATTACGGCAGGTATTGAGACGCCACATTCGTTCGATACACTGCTATTCTTATGTAATGTCTCTCTCTATTCGATACGTATCGTGTTAAGTTCGCACACAAGAATCCATGTGCACTGTGCAGGTCATAATATTCAATGTCTGTGTCACTAGTTTCTGTGGAAGGTTCAGGAAGTGTCTTTATTGGATAAAGGTAGATTGTGACAATAATGGTCCAATTCAAAATTTTATCAAAACTTCTTTCTTGGCATTACTAATGTGCACTTTTTATAAGTATTTTCAGAGCTTCTTTTGCTTTTTCAGACATCCCTCTGCCGGCATGGCTTGGGTTTTCCAAACAATGCGAAAAGCTGGTGTTTTGGTATTGTTTTGGTGATTTAAGAAGTGCTTATGGTCGTTTTAACGTGCAAACAATATGTAGACGAGCGTCAGCATGCCCGCTCGTTACGGCTTGACCAATCACTCGTTACAGCTTGACCAATCAATCATTCACCACGGTGATTAGGGTATCACTTGTTATCATCTATTTATTTTTGAAGGTTAACTGTATCATGGAAAGAAAGGATGACGTAACCACCTTATCGATTTCAGGCCCGTCAAGAAAGGCCAGAGACGGTTCTAGGCAATACAAATGGCTTAGACAAAATGCTAAATTATTCAACAAATATATTCAACAAAAATAAGTGTTCTGGCTTTTATCTTATGTTGGCAAAAACACTATTAGGACCCGGACTAAATATATTTGGAAAAAATAAGTTACATGTCTCTTATTTAGTTTTGGTAGACACACTATTAGCAATTGAATACACGGCTACGATTATATTTCGGTATAAATGTCATTCATTATTATTAATGTATTAATATGATGTTTAGTTTATCATGACGAAGTCTATATCGTTTCACACTTGTCTTGATTATGCCGTATATTATTTAAACTATTTTGGAGACGAAAATGTACTTAACTCGAAAATTCCGAAAGTGGAGCTATCTTGTTTTTGCAATAACCCCATGATCCAAACGTTTTCGCGCATTTTGCTCAAGATTTTAAAAACAAAAATCAATAGTTTTAAAAAGCACTTTCTTATTAATAATAAAGAAAAGCGTGGAGGTCCGCAAGTTGAGTATGACTTCTAAAAGGTCTTTCTTCAAAAATTTTAAAATGTTCTTCCATTTAAATGGCCATCCAAAAAGTAGGGCCTCACCAATTGTCTTCCTATCCGTCCACCATCTTTTATCGATCTATAGTTCAAAATTCTTGTTTATTTTCGTCACTGTAGTAATGAAAATTATGTCAATTCATTCATTATGGAAAGTAGATTCATCAGTAAATACTATCTGACCAAAAAATTGTTCATCTTCCTCTGTTTTTTCCAAAAACCATAAAGAGAATTCTAACCTGCGTTAAAAATCTGTTTCATACAAATTTTGGTGCGTCTGAATTTTAATGGACGATAAAACTGATTTTTAAGAATTTTTTGTTCGGCGTAAATTTAACTGTTTTGCCTCAATTCTTGTGCTTGTGTTAAAATTTTCGATGACGGATAGAACATTTTGTTGATTAGTTTCTTTCAAAACTTCTTTGGAAGGGAAATTTTCGTTGCCTGAATCTAAATATTTTTTTGCTGGATCTGCAGGAAATCTAAAATAAAACTACAAATACACATTGCTACAGTTAAATAAAAAGTGTTTAAAAAGCACAAGAAAGATTTTAAAAGTAAATTAGATTCTAATAAAAGTTAATATTTAGAATTGTACGACACGCCACTGGATAAAAATTGCTTGCTTGGCCATTTTACATCATTAATTGCTTAAACATGAATGAAAAGCATAAAATAAACAAACCCGGGGGTAACATATTTGTTACTCTGCAATTAGACATGTACAATATATAAATATTAAGTTATATAATCACCAAATAAAATGAAAAATATAAGAAAATATATAAAGTATAAATGATTGATGTTTATTATTCACCAGTAAAAAGTAATATCTG